ACAGAGCATCCAGTAGATTGGAACCGCAGGCCTTCGGGACTGCTTCTTCCCACTAGCCCGCCAGAGCTCCCCGTGGGCATGCCCTGTTAATGCAGAGGCGGCACCTCCTTGGGTTTCAGTCCAGCAGGGGCTCCAGTGGAGAAAGAAGAGCGGTCACTTCCCAGGGGGTTTGTGGGCTCAGGATCGCCCCCTGGAGGGTCGTCTGTGAATTTGTCACACTGAGTGGGAACAGGTTGGTTTTTTAAACTTTGTGGAGGCAGAATGCCACATCTGTGTCCAGCTTCCAGCCACCAGCTTCTGGGTGGCTTTCAAGAGCTGCTTTATGACAGGAGAGCTGCTTTCCCGCTGCATAGCATGCACATCCATTTCCTTCAAGTCAGCCTTCCTGAAGTGTAATTGAATGCATGATGCCGTGTGTACACTCCGTTGCTATCAAGATCTAGATCACTTCATTGCCTCATGTCCTTTGTCCTCAGTTCACATCCCCTTCCCACTCAGCTAGTGATCTGCTTTGTCACTCTGCAAACAAGTTTACCTTTTCTAGAAATGTCATACACACTGAATGGTTGTTAGGTGCTGTCAAGCTGACTAGCACGCACAGTGACCCTGTAAACAGCCCTTGAACCTTGTCTTGTCCTGCACTGTGCATATACTCCCCATCGTGCTCAAGCCCATTGTCACAGTCACTGGGCTAGACCATCTTATTGAGAGTCTTCCTCTGACCCTCCCTTTACTTTTCCCGCCCAGCGTGATCCCTTTTCCCAGTGACTGACCTCTCCTGATGGCACATCCAAAGTATGTGAGACCAAGTTTCACTCTCCTTGCCTGGAGCGAGTGCTCCGGTTGTACTTCCTCCAGGACAGAGTTGTTTGTTCTTTGAGCAGTCCATGGGATAGTCAGTACTCTTCACCAACCACCACAATGTAAAGGCATTGACTTTTTGTCTTCTGTGATCCTTATGCATTGTCTAGCTTTCAGATGCATTGAAAGCAATTTAAAAGATCATGGTTTGGATCAGGTACACCTTAGTCTTTAAACCGACATCCTTGCTCTTTAGCACTTAAAGAGGTCCTTAATAGCAGATTTCCTCAAAGTGGTACATTTTAAAAGAAAAATTTTTAATTGATTTTTACACATTCATTTACTTTGTGTTTCAGACCAATGAAATTCATTTTACATTGTAGCTTCTATAATTACTATTGCTCTGTGCCTATCATTAGGGAAAGAAGCATGGTGTAATCCCAAAGGCACACTGTTTGAATCCACCAGCTGCTCTCTGGAGGATGGGCAGTCTCCTCCCGTGTGATTTACTGCTCTGAAAACTCACTGGTGGGTCAGTTATGGATTGGTTCCAACTCAGCACACACACAACAACAGTGCATATTATTACCCCATCTTTCGAGTCTCTGTTGACTCTTTCCTATACCTTCATCTCCCCCTCATCTGCCTACTAAGCTCTGCTATCCTAGTGATTTCCATGCTCCCCCTTTTTCTGCCCTTCCCCCCTTTCTCCTTCCCTTTTGGACATCTATTCACATGTTAGTAGTTATCCTTGTATCTTTACAGTTATGATTTTGTGCAGCTCTTTGTTCTTAGGAGACTGAGTTCTCAGCATAATGCTGTCAGGACTCTCCCGTGGTATATGTGTTATTTTACAAACTCACTCTTCCTCGCGCTGCATAGAATTCTGTTGTGGGAATGTACGACAATTTCTCAATCCATCCATTTGTTGATGGGAATTTGGGCTGCTTCCATATTCTTGCTTTTGTGAGTACTTCTGCTTTGACCATTGGTGTACCTGTGACACATCTTGAGCTCTTGACTGCTACTGCCATCGGTGTTGATGTAGCTCTAAGTAAAATGAAATCGTTGATAGCTGCAGCCTTTTCTCCGTCTGTGATGCTCTTATCAGTCAGTCCCGTGGTGAGGATTTTTGTTTTGACTTTGAGATGTAGTGTCTAGATGACACAGTGTGTAATGTGTAGGAGCTCTGGAGTGCAGCAGGTAGGTGCAGAAACTCCATTCCAAAGCCGACTACCAGCTTGGTTCCAGCGCCAAGCAGCCCTGCAGGCAGAGTTGAGCTGCCTCACAGGGTTTCCATCTTTAAAGCTGCAGACCGCCTCATCTTCCCCTGGGGGTAACTGGTGGGTTTGAGCTAGCTGCCAGCCTTTCGGTTCGCAGCTGTATACTTCACCACTTTACCACCGAACTCCAGAGACCGCCGCTCCCAGCCCAGAAATCATAGACTTGGCACGTTTGAAAGCCTGCTGGTACCGTAGTTGTCAGTTACTGCCTGGGAAATACTGCACCATCGTCAGTACTTTTAGGAAAGAAATGAAAGCTTTCTTTTGCGGCCAAGGGTGATAGTCTGTGCCATTCCCCATTGAGATAGAATTCACATAGAAAACCTCTGGATTGTGCATTTTAAATGAGTAGTTCTTGACCAGTGGATAATTTGTTAAGTGGCATCATAGACCCTTGTATCTGTTCTGGTTTCTGTTGCTTGGCCAGTGCTGTGTGTACTGTGGTGCACTGTGGATCAGAACCCCTTCTCCTTATGGCCAAGGAGCAGGCTGTGTGACCTCCACAGTGTGTCAGCAGCACCCTTGGCTGCACAAGCCTCTGTTCTTGAGCTTATTCCCTCGCCTGCATGTGTCCTCGTTCGACCAGGAAAGGGAGGAAGCGACTTTGCACTTCTCAGCCTCTTTACTAGCGATGACCTTGGTTGTGTCTTCTCATCCTGAGTGCTTAGAGCTGGCATGGTGGTTACCTACCTGTCTTAGAAACGAGAAACTGTGGAACAAACACCAAAGTATTTCCCAATCGTTTCTTTGTGTCTTAATGTTTTGCCTCCTAGTCGGCTTTGAACTTTATTGGCCCTTTTGAAAGGAGGTGACTCAAAAGACTTCTGGGTACATGCTATGCTTCAGCGCCCTCTAGTGCCATGTTGTGGTGGAGTGTTGCAGAAATTGATGTTTGCTGTGACTGCCGGGTTGGATGTGTGAATGGTAAAATTAATTTCCTTGTCCTCTTGGACTGCTACTGAAGAATTTAGCCTTATTTCTGAGGCCAGTTCTTTGCCTTACTGTTAGCACAGATATCAGTATTTTAGTCCTCTCCTCAGACCCTGAGATCCAGAGCCTGAGGGCCATAGTCTCCCTGGCTCCTAGGGAACCAAGTTCGCAGGCCGTGCCTTAGCAGGAACCTGAGGAATTTACCAGCAGTAGGGGGCTCCCTCTTCCTGAAGTGGCTTTGTTTTTTCCAGGAGCAGTTTATCTGTTGGGATGTATTGGAAGATACGTATGCTCATCGTAATTCTTTTCAGTGGACATTGTCCTGTTGCCTTTGGAGTCTGTCCGTTCACATATGCGGACTGGTGGGTGTGCGTTCCCGTGGCAGTGAGGGCAGTTAGAGTTTCTCAAGGACACTTCTGCAGGTGTTGTCAGCACCCCATGACAGTCCCTTACTCCCTTCTGTAATTAGTCCTTCACCTCCAGACTCTGATGGAGACCTTCAGGCCCTGAAGGAGTAGAGAAACGCAGTCGGGCAGGGTGTACTTAGTGTACTTCCATGGCCCTCTGGTGTGCATTGTTTTGATAGTTGAGATTCCCTACATGTGCCTTTTGTGTTTTGTTTTTTGTGGCTTTTTTGCATGTGCCTTTTGATCTTTTGATGGACTTTTGGGGTTGTCTCCAGTTTGGACAAATGTTGTTGCTGTTAGGTGCTGTCAAGTCGAGCATAATGACCCTGTGAACAACAGATCTGAACTCTGCCCTATCCTGTGCCATCCTCATCATCTCCAACTCACTTGATCCCATTGCTGCATTCACTGTGTCGCTCCATTTCGTTGAGGGTCTTCCTCTCTTTCACTGACTCTCTACGTTTCCAAGCATGGTGTTCCTCCAAGGAACCTCCTCTCTCAGCAGAATTCCCAAAGGATGAGAGACCAAGCTTAGCTCTTGTTGCACTTTCTTCCAAGCCTTACCTGTTTGTTCTTTTGGCAACCAATGGGATATTTGCTACTCTCCTCCAATACTGTAGCACAAGTGTGAGCATAGACGTGTTTTTGTACACACACGCGCTCTCACACACATAAAGCTCCATCTTCCTTGTTTTAAGTACAAGTGCCCAGGAGTGGATTGCTGGACCATAGCTGACCATCCAGTGAGTTTTTCATAGGCTGTAAGTGTCATGGGAAGACATTGCCCATTTTTCTTCCTCTGAGCAGCTGATAGATTTGAACTGCCTGCCTTTGGGTTGGTAGTGCAATTCTACCCATTAGACCCCCAGAGTTTTTTCAGAAGTTACCAAGTTCTTTTCAGATTAAGAGTACTGAATGTACCATGGACTGCCAGGAAAACAAACAGATTCATCTTGGAGAGGATTAAACCAAGCTACTCCTTGGAGGCAAGGATTCTGGGGCTTCGTCTGACATACTTTGGACATGTTGCCAGGAGAGACGGGTCCTTGGAGAGGGACATCATGCTCGGGAGGGTGGAGGGACGGCGCAGGAGGGGAAGACCCTCTCTGAGATGGATTGTTTCGGTGACTGGGGTAATCGGGATGGGTGTGTCAGAGGCAGTGCGGTTGGCGCATGATAGAGCAGGGTTTAGGGCTGTTGTGCATAGGGTCACTATGAGTCGCAAATGACTCGATGGCACATAACAACAACAACAACTTTTCAGATTGAACCCTTTTACATCCTCATCTGTGATGTGTGAGAGTTCTGGTTGCTCCACACCCTCATCAACATTTGGTGTCTGGATTATCTTCTGCCAGTTGCTGGCTTGCTTCTCTTTTTCTTGTCTCCTGAAAAGTATCTCAGGGTCGTTCTAAATGTCAACATCCATTAGGTAGGATGTTAAAGGAATCCTCCTTGGAGGGTCAGCATGCATATTCTCATACTTCTTCCTCTACTTTCTTTTCACTTACCTTTTCCTTCCATTTCTCAGTGTTGTACTTGAGTGAAGTTAGCATGTGCTTCCTGCTGTGTTGACAGCATGAGAAGGACCGTGCTCATGATGTAAGCACTTCAAGAGATCATTTCTAAGTCCTGAGGGATTCTGCTGCTTACGTTAGCTCCTACTGTCGATGCATGGTTTCTTTGTGGACTGCGAGTGTATTTACATGGAGTTGCTTCTGTTTCTAACATCTGTTTATAGTCTTGCCAAGAAGCTTTCAGGAGATGTTTCGCACTGACGGTATGAGCGTTCACTGCCATTTCTTTTCCTCTGCAGTGGAAATGGAGAGGCCCGGGGTGGTGCAGACGTTAAGCGCTGGGTACTTGACTCAGTGCTAATTAGCAAAGGCAGTCTCCTTCCGTTAGATTTCCTGCCTCTGAAAATCACTGCAGGGGCATCTGTAGGCTGATTCTGACTCAGCTTCATACAACAACAGGCTGAGGTTCAGGTTACCCTGAGGTGCAGAGGTGCCGCACCCCGCTTACCAGTCTGAGCCCTCGCCCTAAGCACAGACACTCTACTGAGAAGTCACCTTCCTCAAGCTGCTCTGACTCACAGTGACCCACCCAGCAACCCAGGGGGGCCAGGTCTTCCCCAGCGCTGTGTCAGTACATACAGAAGCAGACTGCCTTGTCTTTATCCTGGGGAACAGTTGGTGGGTTCAAACACTGACCTTTCGGTTAGGAGTCTCATTTAGGGGCTGTGGCCACCAGGCTCCTTGCAGCAGGCATAGGCTCTGAAGAGTTGATTGGTCAAAGGGATATGTGAGGACTGTAGAAACCTGGTTATGCTGATTCTTGCAAAGAACCTGAAGTTTCAGGGTGATTATGAACTGGCACCACTTGCCACGTGACTTTTGTGCCTCTTAAGCCAGCTGACTGTTATTATACCTAATGAGTCACATCAGGCTTCTGTGCCTGGAGAGCCGCAGGAGGCCGTGTCCCTGACCAGGTGTCCCCCTGCACTGTTTAATATTCACAGTGGGCTCGCTGCCTTCTCCCGTCTGCCATGCCCTCTGCCCCTGGCCTGCAGGGTGGAGACTGGCCTGGAGCTTCCCGGGGAGTCAGCACAGCAGTGAGGTGCATGTGAGAGGTCGCCCTCTGTTGGCAGAGCAGGCGGCGCAGGGCGGGTCCCCCATCTGTAGTGGGGGGCTGCTGCTGTGCTGCTTGTTTCTCTGAAGAGGAGCGTGGGGAGTCTGGCACTGGTGTTTGTGGGATGGCCTTCTCACGGTGCACTGTTTATGACCAATGATTCTCTGATCTTTCGCAGTATATTTTTGGAGACTTCAGCCCTGATGAATTCAATCAGTTCTTTGTGACACCTCGCTCCTCTGTTGAGGTAAGACAAAACTTGATTTTGTGGAGTATGTGCGTAGATACGGTTTGTTTTCACCTTTATTTTAAAAATTTTTATTTCATAATTGACTTAAACATCCAGTGTCCACATTTACCTGTGCCTCACGGGTTGGCCCGTAGAGGCCTTGGGCCTCACCAGGATGGCAGTGTTGGAGTGGACCCACGTGGCCCAGCCCCCCTTGCTGCCCTGAGGCGTCTCCAGGACTCGCACCTGGAGTGGACTCAGGAGTGGACACGGCCCTGCAGTGAATGGGCATCTTGGGTTGTTGGGGGACCCAGGAAGTGAGCTGAAGGTCTGAGCCGTGCACTTTCCCCGCAGAAGGTGTGGGCTCCGCTTGCTTTTTCTTTCCGGTCAACAAATCTTCCTGATTGTCCGTATCAGCGTCATTGACGTGGATATGTGGGTCATAAATGGGTTCTGGTGGCTTTGCTCTCTGTCGGCGTTGCCTGCTCAGCTGACAGCAGCTGAGCACGTTTCTTGTCTCCAAGCATCAGCCACTTGGCCGTCCCCTCCAGGAGCGTCCTGTCCACTGTGCACTCTAACGCCTGGCCTATCACTGATTATGGCCTCAGTCTTAACGTCTGTATTACAAGTTCTCTTCCCATCAGAGGAGAGACTTCCAGCCATGAACTTTACTTCAAGTCACGAAGTACACTTTGTTTTTCTTTTCTTTTTTCCATTATTTTTTGTGTGTACTGTCAAATCAGATCTGACTGGTACAGGAGGAGATTGTTCCTCCTTCTCCAGCAGAGCATCTGGTGGATTTGAACAGCTCACCTCAGATTGCAATGCAGCTTCTTGCTGCTAGGCCACCAGAGCTCACCCTCGAAGTACACTTTGTGTATGATGCACCAAAATTATTTTAATGGGTGAAGGATTATACATTTTTAACTTTATTGTCAAAAATTATGATCCTATTCTGAGTGATAAACGCTGTTTGTGTATTGTTTATTTTCACACCTTAGTGTATAAAACATCTGAGAATGAGGTGCTGGTTTTTGTAGGAGTCTGAGGGGGTCATGCCCTTCTCCCAGAGCCCCCTTTCCACTGCAGCAGCAGCTGTCCCAGCATTGTTTAGGGGAGCCCACCTCCTGGAGGAATCACCTTCCCTTTGTGTCTCACAACCGAGTCCCTGTTCTGTTTGTGTCCCTCTCTTTACCTTTGTGCCCCTGCTATGAGGTTTGTAATAAATTTCTGGTGGGGTATACACCCATTTCTTGTGATTTATTTATTTATTTATTATTGCTGTTGTTTTTGTTTTTAAAAATTTTATTATCAGCATGCCAAGTTACATTACTGAAATCTTGCTTGGAATTGCATTAAAATTATGAATTCATTAATATTTTTGCCACGGTAGATTTCCCCCCAAATAATTTGGAACTGAGACATAAAAATATTCCCCATTGATACGGGTTTTTTAAGACCACTTTATGCAACAAGTAGTTTGCTTATAAATATTCTGGGAAAAGTTTTCAGATTGTTTTACATATAGAAACTGAAAAATTGCTGAATAGGAAAAATGAAGAGGGAGAAGTAATTTTATGTTAACTAAGATCTTAGTCATGGTTTACTAACCCCTAACAGGGCCTGGGTATCTTATTGCCAAGTGCCCTCAGGTACCCTTCTGCATGGACCCCAACTACTACGCTGGGGTTGTATTCTAACTCATAGCCACCCTGTAGGGTTTCTGAGGATGCAAATCTTTAGGGAGCTCACTCCCACATTTTTCCTGCCTTGCAGAGGCTGGTGAGTTTGAACCACTGGCCATTTGTTTAGCAGCCCAATGCATCACAGTGTTCCTTATATTTATACGTAACGATGCTCAAACATCCTCTCATGGAATTTACCCCACTTCTGGTGGTCCTTCAGGACAGAGTTCTCTGCCCCTTAGGTTTCCAGAGTTAAAATTGTTACAGAACAAACTGCTCCATCTTTCTGCTCTAGAGTGGCTGCTGGGTTTCACCTGCCTAGCTTTGTTTTTGGTTAGCAGCGAGAGTCTAGCCATTCCATTGCCGACTCGTTGTCTCATGGTAGCTGACTTAGAGCTGACGTGCAGCAGCTGTTCAGAGATGTTGATCCCGCTGGAGGAGTTTGCGCATCTTTTTTTCTCAAAGCAGCTGGTGGATTGGAACTGCCAGGGAGGTGCTGTCTGTGTCAGCTGTGCAGCTTCCTGCGGACTACAACCCAAAGCTCCCTGGGAGCTTAGAGTTATCTGCAAGGTACCTGGGGTTTGTGTTTTGTCTTTTGTTGTTGTTGTTTTTAAAAAAGGGTCAAGGACAGCTGACCTTTTAGGATAGATATGAAAAGATCATGGCTGTGACCATAATCCTTCCATGTGACCTTGGCAAAGCTTTTCATGCCTCTCACCTTGGCTTTTGAAGGTAGATTTAAATTAAATGCAATCATATGTAAAGCAGCAGGAAGAGTATTTGTTCTGTTCTTTTACTTTAGGAAAAAGAAAGACATTAATAAAAAACCTTGGTTAGAGTTCCACTTAGAAAATGAATAAAAAAAAAAAAGAAAATGAATAAAACACATTTAATCCTACTGGTTTGTGTTCATTGATGTTAACAGTTGTGTTTTCAAGGTATATTAGACTCCTGGTAAAAGTTAATTAACTGTTAATTGTGGTGGTTCTGTGTAAACTCTGTTAATGATTCAGGTTTTAATTTGTATGTGATCCTGTATCAGTGAGAGAGAATAACTGAAAGACAGAAACTGTGAAGAGACTTCTGCATTGTGAAAGAAAGACAGTGGAAAAGTCTGAGATAACATGTATGAGAGGTGTGTGTGTGTGTGTGTGTGTGTGTGAGAGAGAGAGAGAGAGAGAGAGAAAGAATGTGTGCCTGAGATACCATGTGTGAGAAAGCGAGCATGTGAGAGTCTGAGATAACGTGCACGAGAGACGGAGAGTGTGTGTTAGAGAGAGACACACACACTGAGAGCCCGAGATACCATGTATGAGAAACTATGTGAGAGTCTGAGATAACATGTATGAGAGATGGGGGTGTGTGTGTGTGTGTGTGTGTGTGAGAGAGAGAGAGAGAAAGAGGCCAGTGGGGGGTTTATTGGGAGTGATGACATGGAGTGTAGACAGTTATTCTCTGAGACCTGTGTCTTAATGGGGTTTCACGGGAAGTAGTAGGGATTCCCGAGGGTGTTGTAGACAGTGCACTGAGAACATCAGCTCATCAGAGGGCTGGCTTCCCGTAGCTGCTGGACTCAGACTAGGTGATCTTTTTTTCTTCCTGTCTAAGGTGTCTGGCTCTCCCTTGCTTTAACTTGGCTCACATGTTTATATGGGGAATTTTTTGCTCTTAAAATGTAAAAAAAATTTTTTATCTTTTTAAAAAGTAGTTTTAATGAAAGTTTACAGAGACTTGGGGTTTCCAAATATAAAATTTTTGCATTTTTTTTTCCTTTTCCCGTATTTATTTTTTCATTGTTGCACATTTTCTTTTTTTTGTTGTTGTTATTGCACATTTTCTCAACCCTCCATCATCTCATCCCACAATGCACCTCTTGTTCCAGACTGCTGTCATATATATAATGCCCAATCATATATTCCTTTCGGACAGTTCTTTTCCCTCATCTATTCTTATGCAGTGTTCATTAGCCATTCTTTTCCCGTTCTCTCACTAACTCCTCCACGTCTATCTTATTTTATAATAGCATTGTTATTTAATGTTTGTCGTTTTTGACGGAGATATTTCACTCAGCATGATGTCCTGTGGACTCCTCTATGGTGTGTAATGTTTTACAAGTTCATTGGGGTTTTTTTTTAGTGCTGTGTAATATTCCATTGTTTTTCTATCCATTCATTTGTTGATGGCCACTTGGGTTACTTCCATCTGTTTGCTCTTGTGGGTGACGCACCAATAAATATGGGTGTGCATAAAATAACTTACATTTGTTCTTATGGTTAGTTGTGTAGTTAAAGAGAATTAGAAATTGTTTTTACAGTTTTATTCAGACCTCTGAGTTGCAGTCATTATGATACTGAAAAAGCTAAATTGAACTTAGCACATGAAGCCTGTAGTGCCTCTGCTGGAACATGGGTAGACGCTTGTGATTTCGGTGGGCAGTGCTGGGCAGGCCCCATGAGCCCTGGCACTAGGCTCCTGAGGTTGGCTTGTTCTGCCCCTGAGAAGTCCACAGGCTCTAGGGGCATCTTACAGTTGTAGAAGTTTGTTCAATTACAGATGCCATCTACCTGGGCCCTTCATATACACAAACATGCTTTCTTCCTTGCCAGCATCTCCTCCACTGTTTGGTATTCCTGCAGGGAAGCTGTCTTGTATCAGAATAGTGAACTAAGTGTCTGAAGGACACTAACAGGCAGTGTCACTGAGAGCACACTGGATGTATGTGGAGACCCTGTCCTGCCTGTGTTGCATACTGACCAGGCGACCATGAACACCGGACCTTGATAGTATACCACCTGTAAAACACCTGAGACAGCTGTCCTGCCACTCTGCCTTCGGGCATGGGGGGCCATCCCTTGGGTCTTTCAGGTGTGGGGGTTTCTTCGTGCAGCCTGCTTGGGTGGATGGCTGCAGAGGGCAGAGGTCCATGAAGGCGGCTTACAGTGTGTCCAGACCTCTCACTGCGGTTCCTTCTGGAAATCCCACCTCCCTGCAGCCTGCCTCACACCCTGGCCTCTGCAGGGCTCTGCACCCTTCTCCAAGCAGAGCTGGAGAGAGGCCTCGCATAGACAGATTGCTTTTCCTCAGCACAGTGCCATTCGAAAAATTATTTTGACATTAGAGGTTGGGCTTTTGTGAAACTTGGTTCAGATATGAGGGTATGGAACTGTTTGTGTGACTGGTTCAGAAAAGGAGATAGTATCTTAATATGATAAAATGGTCTGTGTAAATAGGCAATGCATGAAGTGTTGAAGACTTTCAGTGCCTTCGGATGGTAGCGATTTCTCTCCTGGGAGCCCCCAGGGTCCTTGTGCAGAGGAAGAAGGCTGCTGCTGTGTGTTGCATGGAGCCTCTGAGCAGTCCTGTGACTGCAGAGGGATGCTGGTGTGACTCAGGTGCCCTTCACAGGCACACCTGTTCCACCCCATTTTTGTGCCAGTGGTGGTTGCTGAGGTGCCTGGGGCCAGTGGGATGTTTAGGGGGTGGATTGTGAGGTTTGTACCCTGAGCGAAATTGAGCTGTGGTGCAGGATTGGATCCCTTTCAAACATGACCAATGCTGCACACCCCAGTCTAGAAAGAGGCCAGGTCATGAATTCTGAGTCTTCGCTCCCTTTTGATCGCTGATTTTTCTTTGTTTCTGTCTATCACTGGTTTTCTGAGGAGGAGGGAATCTCCTCAGTTACTTTGAGAAATAAACTTTTAAGAAGTCCTGGTGGTGCAGTGGTTAAAGAACTTGGCTGCTGCAAAGTTGTCAGTTCAAAACCTGCAGCTGCTCTGTGGGAGAAAGCTGAGACAGTGTGCACTGTGGAGGTCTGCGTGCTCCGCCCTGGGCAGCTCTGCTCTGGCCTGTGTGTTCATTGACTTGGTGTCACAGAGTTTGGTTGAGGTTGCCTTTTTGGGGGGTAGGGTGGGGGTGGTTCTACTCCAGGTAGCAATAATCAGTACCCCTGCCTATCCTTTATTTTCTCATCCCAAATTTGTCCATTTGAAATAGTCCCAACTAATAAATAAATCCATATTGTGGAATAGCTAGGAGGAAGAAATTAGGACAGTCATACTCCTTCCTGCTCTTTGGAAAGAGGTCAGACACTTGCAATTTTGCTTTTCTTTCTTCCTGAGAAAGGACTGTGATTTTGTGTCATTAATTGAGTTATATGAGGCATTTGTGCTAAAATTGGAGCCACATGTCCCTGCTCTGCTCACAGCAAGTTGTGTGGATCCATGGGGAGCAGCAGGACTGCGCGCTGGCTCAGCGAGGGTCTGTCTTCACCACCAGACAGTAAAACACCTGTTCACTGCAGCCAGTCTCTGGTGTCCTTAGATGAAGAGGATGGTAACGATAAACGCTTTACTGCTGACAGACATGATGACTGCAGTCCATTTTGCTAGATTTCCCCCCCCCCCCATCTGCTTATTAACAGTGCATATTTGAAAGCATTTCTACAGTGTTTGGGCTTTTTATCTCCTTTGGGTGAGTATTATTTCTGTTTTTTGGAGTCCACACGTGTGACTTGAGCGACAGTACAGTCTTGAAGAGCTGCGTGGATCAGTAGTTTTCATGAAATGGTGCACTAATGAGGTAGTGAACCCTGTGTTGAATTAAATTTGTTTCCACTTCCGTGCAGCTTCCTCCCTACAATGGAGCAGTTTTGTGTGGCGCTCAGGCTGCAGATGAACTCCTCGACGGTAAGCTGGTTCTCTGTCTCCCATGGGCCCGGTGGGCAGGCTTCCCTGCAAATACTGTCCCACTTCCTCTTACCTTGAGCGCATTACATGATTTCTGTGCTGTAAGCCATAGCAAATTTGATCTCTGAGTCGCTCTGGCTGTGAAGTTAGTTTCTTCTCCACTTCAGAGAGCGACGCACGTCTGAGTCGGTGCCGGAGCTACTGCACGTGGAGGGCGCACTATCTCGGAACCAGCGTGTTTTGTCCTTGCTTCTCTTTGGCAACTTGGCCATCATTCTGGGGGTTCACATCCAGGTCTCAGTCTGTGGATAGTTCTCTCAGGAACCCAGTTGACCTGCTCACCTCCCTCCTAGCCTGTTACTCCTTTGTCTCTGCCCCAGACACCGGGTGAGTGGTGAGTGGGGGGAGGGCTTTGGATTGGTGAGCACCAGGGGTTTGCCTCACAGCAATCATTTAACCAGTGTGGTCTGCCCTTTGGCACTTAGATTTCCCGAGACCACTCCTCTTCCAGACCACGGTGCTTTTAAGAATCCTGTTGCTCTCTGAGAAGCTGAAGCCATGTCTGTCTTTAAGAGCAAGGGATATGAATGCCATTTTGTTAGCATGGTCAGACGTGTAAAATGGGTTTTACTTATTAGATAATACATAAGAAACTGGAACATAGGAGGCCAGAAGAGCCTTAGACAAAGACCGAGGCAGCTGTGGGGCCCCACAGGCTTGTCCGCTGTTGGGGTCAGTGAGGCCTGCTTTGTGTACAACCTCCCAGCTGCTGCCACCAGGGCGCCTGGTCTGGGGCACTCTCCTGCCCGGGCCTTCCCTTCCCTGTCCTCACAGCCACTCCCTGAGTTCTTGGCCACCATCATGCCACCTTTCCTACCTCTGCTGTCCCCTTCCAGATCATCTTTCTTTTCTGCCAGCTCCCTCAGATCTGCCTCCAGCTGGCACTGTTGGTGACAAGCTGGTTTAAAGGGCCCCTCTTCTCTGCAGCCCTTTCCACCTCTTATGTTTCCATCTCTCTGCCAGTGTCTGTTTCACTGCCCAGGCATAAGTCTGTTCCTGAAAGAGGGCTCATGATGGCAGGGACTCTCATCGCCTGCACGTGCCTAGCAGCTGTGCAAGGAGGCATCTGGAACATGGGGGACCCTCAGTGTGTGTGTGTGAGCGACTGAGAAGGGCTTAGATCACTGCCTCCTATCTCAGCCCCCTCTGCCAGGCTCCCTGCAGACCCCACAGTGACATGCACACGAGCCTTCTGCTTTGCCGTCAGTCCCCAGAGCCAGCACATGTCCTCTCCAGGTGGTCCGGTGCCACAGACTCTGCCACACTCCCTCTGTTAGGCTGTAGAGGGCTTCTCATCCATCCCGAGTGTGGCTCTGTCCCCTCAGTAGACGCACAGACACCTGTCAGCCGCCGTGACCCTGTGACTAGCATGTTGACACAGTGCCCTGGGCGCACACTGGTATTCTGTGGTTCCAGGCTCACAGGGTCGGCTCGCTCAGGCCTGACTGGAGAAGTCAGCACTGCACTCAGACGGCTGTGGGCTGACCCCGGGGCACTGCCCAGCACCCCGTCATGGTGCTGCGGGCTGCAGCTGGCCAGCTTGGAGGGGGCTCTGGGAACTAGATCTTCATGAATAGATGAAATTTTCTGTAATAGAGTGGAGTATATTGGTTTTTTTTTAAAAAAATCTTTATATAGAAATATCTTGAAATAAAAATCAGCTGGATACCAGATTTGACTAAAAGCAAGTTGTTCACAGAGCAAGTTCAAGAAGATGTCAGACACTCAAGCATGTAGACTAAAGCAAGGGATGATGAGTCTTTCCCTTTTTCAAGTTCAGTGCCCTAGTTCACCAGCTGGAAGGTGACTGGTGCCCTTTGTAAGTAATCATGTCTTGTAATCACTTAGATGATGTCACTTTTATTTGATAAAAAAAATCTGGTAGCATTTGCCCTATGAACTTGCTTTAAAAAGGTGCTTTGCAAAATCTATTGCTTAATGATGAAAATTTGAGTCCTGTGTAGTCTGAGATATTTAAAATGCTACTTAGCAGAATTAGAAGACTTACTCTGAATGACACCCTTGATCCTAAGCCTCTGCCTGATTCAGAGCGGCATCAGTGAAGAGGCACACGTCCTAGAATGGGTGAGTGAACCCCAGTTGTGCCCAGTGTGTTGGCATCCCCACCCCGAGCCTGAAATGATGAATAGAACTCCGCCCACCTTCACATTCACAGCCAAGCTAAGTCTTGAGGCTTTTTTTTTTTTAATTTTATTTCATTATTTTTTGTGCATACAGCCAAATCAGATCTGACTGGTACAGGAGGAGATTGTTCCTCCTTCTCCAGCAGAGCATCTGGTGGATTCGAACCGTGCACCTCTGAGATCGCAGTGCAACTTCTTGCCACTACGCCACCAGAGCTCGCCGAGGCTTTTCTTAAAGCTTCAATCTTAGTCCCCTCTGGAGTGCATGAGGATAAAGTCATTGTAGATGTATTTAAAAGAAATGACTTTGAGGTGGTCTCTGTGGGACCATGATAAATTTAAAGCCATGCTACAGATGTAGATGAAACTTGGGCCCCCTGTCAGTCTCCTTAATTGTACAGCCTTGACATTAACTTGTTAACTTTGTAAAGAATTATTGACACTAATCAGAAAAAGAAACATGTAGCATATAAACATTCTTATTTCACTTTTGCCATAAATTCTAGGCAATTTGGATGAGAATTATAGAGCATTTGTGTTTAATATAGTAGATGTGAAACCTGGGACAGGATTTGCTTGGTCTTCTGACTCCAAAGCAGCCTTGAAAATTCCCAGATAGATTAGATAGAATTCAAATTTAGTCATTAAGGAGTGGATTATGCGAGCACCTTTTAAAAATTACAGCAAGGTCACAGGGAAAATGCTACTTGTTTGGGTTTTTTTTTTTAAACCAAATAAAACTGACATATGTAAGTGATTACAAAATAGGATTATGCACAATTTTTGTTACAGATTTAAAAAAAAAGCTCAGTATGTTTTAGCTTCATTAAATCCAGCCAAAATGTCTAAATCCCTTAGTCATTGTGGTTTTATATTTTTACATTAAATTGTCAAAATACATATTCCCTAGCCCCAGGCCTAACATAAGCCAGTACAGTCAGATTCCTTTGAGGAATGTTGTTAAGCAGGCAAAATACAACTTTCTTTTTATTATAAATTCATTCTACTTTACCTTCTGGAAGTTTTCCTTAGCTACCCAGAGAGTAAAGTATTCTGTTTTATATAGCCTCAGGTTTAGTATAATTGTATAGTTACTGGTTTTATTTCCACAATTTTTTTTCCTTCAGCCAGAAATAAAATTGCCGTAGCTTTAAAATTAAGAATGTGAGATTTCTAGTTTTTTTTTAAAAAAGTGACTGACTGAAGCTTTCATAGCCCTCACAGCTGAGGACTGGTGAGTGAACGGTGTGTTTACAGGTTCTTCTTCTGCCTCTGCAGGACAAGAATACCAGAGAATTGAGTTTGGAGTTAATGAAGTAATCGAACCGGAAGACTCTGTGCCCAGAGCCCCCAGCTACAGTATTTCCAGCACACTGAACCCTCAGGCCCCGGAATTTATTTTAGGTTGTCCTGCTTCCAAAAAGACCCCCGATGATGTGGATAAGGATGCAAACTACAGTTCTGAATGCCAGTACCCGGGATCTCCGCTTACTCTGGATAGCAGTTCCAACGTGGAGACAGAAGTGTGGGAAAATGATGGCGTCTCTGGTGGTCTCGGACAAAGGGAACGGAAGAAGAAGAAGAAACGACCACCTGGGTATTATAGTTACTTGAAAGATGGCAGCGATGGCAGTGCTCCCACAGAGGCCCTGGTCAACGGCCACGCACACCCGCCTGCCCCGGACAGCGGAAGTGCAGAGGACACAGAGTTCTTGGGTGACGTGCCCCCGTTGGTCACCCCCAGGACTTGTAATAGCCCTGAGGACTCCCTGGACTTTGTGGGTGGCTCTCTGCCCGATGGGCCTTTCCCCAGAGCACTGGACAGCCATGCCAGGACTGCGGGGCAGCCAGAGCTGTGCCTCCCTGCCTTTGAGCAGGCCTGCCTCCCTGTCGAGGCTGCCAGGGACAGCCTGGCAAGGACAGCAGTGGCCCAGCCTTGTGTCGGGCTTGATACTACTGAGAACCTTGGTGTTGCTAATGGACAAGTACTTGAACCCTCGGGTGCAGACCCAGCTGCCAATGGGATGGAGCTGCACACAGTGGAGAGCACGGACTCTGAACCTGCGCAGCCCCCTACTGACCCCTCGGCCTTGGTGGCCGGCTCCGCCCCCCCCAGCCAGCCCACCAAGTCATGGGCCAGTCTCTTCCATGATTCCAAGGCCTCTTCTTCCTCACCCATGGCTTATGTGGAAACCAAGTATTCCCCACCTGTCACATCGTCCCCGGCCTCTGAAAAGCAGGTTGAAGTCAGAGAAGGGCTTGTTCCAGTTTCGGAGGACCCTGTAGCCATAAAGATCGCAGGTATAGTTATGCAGTCACACTGGAGGCAGGGAGGGAGACAGTGCCTCGGGCTCCGCTAAAAGAGAGGTTTAAAGCCACTGTCTCATCAGCCATGGTGACATTGCCACAGCCATAGGTTATCTGTCTGTCACAGGAGTTTCTGAGAATGCCTTTGTCCTAAAAGATTTCTAAAAGTGAAAGTGTGTGACGTGTGCAGTGTGGAAGTGGGTGGTGGTGGGGTGTGTGCATGCACGTTCGTTCCTATCTTTTCTCCTGTGGGTTCTTTTCTAAGACAGGTTCCATTTCCTCTGGTTTCGCTCCATCGTGAGTGTGACACAGGTGTCCTCTCTGGGTTGACAGCTATTGCCATCTCCCTGGCGTGACAGCCCCTGATTTCTACTCACTTTGCTCTATTTCTGTTTTTGTATTTAAGACACAAGGAATCATTTTGTGACTAACATAGGATTTTGAGTTTTTCTTCCCTTGGAGAAGGTGAAATCAAGTTTCTCCTTGGAGGCTAGGTTTTTGAAGCTCCATCTCACATACTTTGGGCACATGGCCAGGAGGGACCAGTCTTTGGAGGAGGACATCATGCTCAGAAGGGTGGAGGGACAATGCAAGAGAGGAGGACCCCAGATGAGATGGATTGATACAGTAACTGGGGCAACGAGGGTAGGTGTGTTGGAATTAGTGAGACTGGCTCGGGACAGGGTGGGCTTCAAAGCTGCTGTACATAGGGTCACTATGGGTCACAGGCGACTTGACAGCACGTAACAACAAAAACAACAACTCCCTTCTAATGCTGCTTTTGGATTGAGTTGCTGAATTCTGTTCTGAGTTTTTTTAACACACTAACACTTTTGACAAGAAAAGGAAAATTCCAAACGGATTTAACCTGGAGTTGACATTTCCTTTTTGAAGTGGTAAAACTCAGAAGTAGGACCAGTTCTCGTTAACATCATAAGGCTGCATTCCCGGGTGGGTTTATGAGCTACACTTGAAGGAGGCAGTAAAGCATGCAGAGGAGCCCGTCTGTGCAGCAGTGGCACTGAGAGATGGTGACCCGCACATGCAGTGGGCAGGAAGTGCTGGGGCGCAGTTTTCATCAGCCGTCTGTACTGCATACGGCGTGCTGTGTACACTCGGCTGATGTTGGTCATATTCCCACATGGCCATGCACACACATTCAAAGATTGGGTGCATGAAGATAATGATAACAGGACGCAGAAGAAGAAAACTTTGTAAAAAGAGGTATTTGAGTTACTTTTGAAAGAGTTGAGGATGACCTCTGCATCACTAAGAAGCATGAGCTGTCTCTTTCGGTTCGATTCTGTCCCAGTTCAGTAGCTGATTCTTCAGCTCCTTGTTCTATTAAGCTGCTTAAATAAGTTGTCTTGCTGAATTGCTGGGCTCTCCGTAATATTTTCTGAATGACCATTGTGGAACACTTGGGACATTGAGATCAGGATCTGGATGCGTGAGCACCTGGGGCTTAGATCAGCCTTGGATACTCTCACAGTCTGTGCCAGGAAATTTGGTGGACAGCTGTCTGGCCATTGGATTGGAAGAGGTCCATATTTGTTTCCATTCCCAAGAAAGGTGATCTAACAGAATGTGGGAACTATTGAACAATATCATTAATTTCATATGCAAGCAAATACTGCTGGAGATCATTAAAAAATGGCTAGAACAGTACATAGATTGGGAACTGCCAGAATTTCAAGCAGGATTTAGAAGAGGCTGTGGATATCATTCCAGGGATATCATTGTTATCAGATGGCTCCTGGCTGAAAGTAAAGAATACCAGAAGGATGTGTATTTGGGCTTTATTGACTATGCAAAGGTATTAAACTGTGTGGATCATAACAAGTTATGGGTAACATTGAGAAGAATGGGAATCCCAGAGTATCTAATTGTGCTCATGTGAAACCTCTACCCAGACCAGGAGGCTGTTGTATGAACAGAGCAAGGGAACACCCTGTGGTTTAAAGAAGGGTGTGTGTCAGGGTTGTATTCTCTCTTCATACCTATTCAGTCTGTATGCTGAGCACATTGAGAAGCTGGACTCTTGAAGAGGAATGTGGCATTAGGATTGGAGGAAAACTCATCAATAACCTGCATTATGCAGATGACACAATCTTGCTTGCTCAAAGTGACTATGACTTGAAAAGCACTTGTTGCAGAAGATCAAGGAATGCAACCTTCATAATGGATTGCATCTCAATGTCAAGAAAACAAGATTCTTACCACTGGACCAATAGGCAGCATCATGATAGATGGAGAAAAGATTGAAATTGTTAACAACTTTATCTTACTTGGATCCCCAATTAATACCCTTGGTACCAGCCATCAGGTAATCAGGAGATTTCATGGGTGGGTGGAGCGCCTGGGCACTCAGATCAGGACCTGGGTGGGTGGGTGGGTGCGAGAGCAAGCAGCAGAATGTTCATCCTTTATAGATGGACCAGAATCCCCCTGAAAAGACAGAAAATACGCACTTTTTGATAGCCATTGAGTGACAGTAAAACTTAAAACCAACCAACTACACATATTTTAATCTTTACACAAAACATGTTAACATCAGTAATTTTGATGTTCTGTTATCTAGTTGATAGGTCAACTAGTAAAGTATTGCTTCCTATTTTTAAATAAAAGCCAGGTAATTTCTTTGTGATAACAGAGTTAACCATTTTTTTTAACTGTGACAGACAGTGGTGGGGTGATGCTTAAAATGTGCCTTTTGGGAGCTCTGGTGGCCTAGTGGCAAGAAGCTGCATTTGCAATCCCAGAGGTATGCGGTTCAAATCCACCAGATGTTCTGCTGGAGAAGGAGAGGCAATCACCTACTGTACCTGTCAGATCTGATTTGACGGTACACGCAAAAAATAATAAAATTTAAAAAAAAAAGTTAAAAATGTGCCTTCTACTTTCAGAGTAGTAGAAGGAAACATGGCAGTTGTAAACTTCTGTTCCTGAAAGTCACTTCATAGAAGAAGCTGTCCCTTGCCTGGGAGGTGCTCTTATCCCATTGAACAAAACGAAAGCACTGTTTTCAGTGTTTTGTCAACATTGAAGCCAAAGCCTCAGAAAATGGTTTGATAGATATGTGCTGTTTTAAACTGAGATTGTTCAACTGCCTTGGAAAGGTGTGAAGGAAGGGGAGCCCTCCTGGGGAGAGCTGGGCTATACATTATCCAAGTCATTTTTTAATTGAGGTATTGCATGTCCACCTCCTGCAAATTTGTTTTGTTTTTTTTAAATTTTTGTGTGAGTGTACCGTCAAATTAGATCTGACTGGTACAGGAGGAGATTGTCCCTCCTTTTCTGGGCAGAGATCACAAATTTGTTCTTAATCCTTTTTTGATTATACTGATTGTAAAGAATTTTCAATTCCTTGAACAAAGAAGTGTAGTGCCTTTTCAGACTCTTCACTCTTTTTAGTCCTGCCTGTGGAACTTCTGGAACATAAAATGATGTTGGCCGTCCTGTGCCCATGACTTCCTTTGAAGTGACGTAGGCACAGCTGTCAAACCAGGGATAAGATCTTGGAGAGCATTGGTGCAGGGGCTCCTTGTGAGGCTTTACCCTCTAGTCTGACTCTTCTGTGTAGGGATTTACTTTGTAAAATTATGAAATACATTCAATTTCATTATAAGTTAAATACAACATAAGGGAAAAGAGAAAACCCTTTAACTAGACGGCCAGCGTCGACTTTGTTATCTTAAGCAGCGTGTGATGGAGTGAGCAGCCCGCTCCATTGGAGGTTTCCTGGTGTCTGTGGTAATAGACTGACGTTCGTTACAGTGCCTTACTGACTCTACTGTTGGGTCGGCTACGACTCGCTACTGAGAGAGTGGATTTCACAATTAGTATTTATAGTTAGTTTTGGGAATGAGCAAAAGGGACAATTCTTGTATTAGATCTAAAGGTTAAAAAAAAGTTTTTATCCTGAATTTATTATTTCTGGTAGCCCTGTTTTTTGACTGGCTCCCATCGTTAAGTCTATTTAGTAAATGCCCACTGGTGTTTTGTTTTGTTTTGTTTTTGTCATTGTTCATGGTTTATTTGGTGTTTTAGTTGGTCCCCACTGGTTTTTATAAAACCAGAAATAAAACGCAAATCAGGATGGTCAGTCAGCTGCAAAACAAGATTTTGAGGGAAAGTGGAGCAGGCACTGATTCTGATCCTAGGGCTGAAGGTGCTGCCCTGACAGGCAGGGACTGCTCACCTTGGCGGGCAACAGGGCGTCTGCTCTTCTCTGGACGTGTTTGCATTTTGTTCCAAGTACTGTTACTTCCTAACTGCAGGTAGTAGGGAGCTGTTAGAAAAGTGGAGACTGGCTTCAGTTGTGTATATCTTTCATATGTGGAGTTGTTCTTAGTCAGGACAGCCCCCACAGCTCCTGCAAGAAGGATGGGGGCTTGCCCATTCTGGCCTCTCTTGTATCTAAAGGATCTAAGTGCATTACACCAGCAGAGGCCTTAGGGCATGGGAGGAGAGGGAGAGGGGTTTTCATTGGCTCCTTGCTACTGCCTGAAGGAAGGTGAGGTAACTAGACCAGCCCAGGTGACCTCAGACCTCAGCAGTACCCAGCCTTCTCTGAGGTCATGGACCAGCTCAGGTGACCTCAGCAGTACTCGGCCTTCTCTGAGGTCATGGACCAGCTCAGGTGACCTCAGCAGTACCCGGCCTTCTGTGCCGTCTTGTTCTTGGTGGCCGCTGCCCTTGCGTTTCCATCTGTGGGTCTCGGTAGATGTCTCTGGATGTCAGGCTAGAAGTCAGGTGGTCAGGGGAAATGGTGATGCTATAAAAAAGAACTTTGATTAAAGGGCTGTTGATGTCCATACACTTGTGTATACATGAAGAATAATTGACTTTAGGTTTGTGGTTGTTGGGTTCAGTTCCTTTGAACAAAACAGGGTGGCCCAGTGGACAAGCAGCTGGCCTGCCCGACCCTGCACCTTCTGAGCAAGCCCTGTTCAAGCTCATTGTCGCAGCCACCATGCCAGGCCTCTCTGAGGGGCTTTGTCTTTTCTGACCCTTTACTTTTCCATGCCGTGATGACCATCTCCAGGTTCCTCCTGATGCCCAAAGTAGGCAAGAGGGTCTTACCAGTTGTTAGGTGCCGTCAAGTTGACTCTGCCGCACAGCAACCCTATGGACGATATCTGAACTTGCCTGCCCTGTGCCGTCCTCGTCTCTGATAACTCGAGCCCATTGCTGCGGTCACTGTGTCAGTCCACCTCGTGGAGTGCCTTCCTCTTTTGCACTGATTCTCCACCTTTCCAAGTGTGATGTTCCTCTCTAAGGAGTAGTAGCCTCTTCTAACAACATGCCCGAAGTGTTTGAGATGAAGTCTTGTGATCTTTGCCACCAAAGAGGGTTCTGATTGCACTTTCTCTAAGACGTCTAAACGTCTCTAAGACGTTTGTTCTTTGGCAGTCTGTGGAAGGACTTTTCAGCACTCTTCTCCAAGACCACAGCTCAAAGGCATTCATTCTTCCTCTATCATCCTTATTCATTGGTTAGCTCTCAGATGTGTAGCAAGTGATTGAAAAGACCATGTTCTGGATCAGGCACAGATTGGTTTTTCCTGCCTTTATTGCTCCTCAGTAATTTGGAGAGGTCCATGACAGAGGACATCTTTTGATCTCCTCACCCCAAGAATATCATCTTGTGAATCCAGGTATAGGGAGATCATAGACAACTGCAGTCTTTTTGTCTATGTGCCGTGCTGTTGCTTACTGATCTAATGATGAGGATTTTGGTCTTCTTGATGTTGAGATGCAACCTATCCTGAAAGCTGAACAGGGTTTGATCTTCTACAGCAAGCATTTCAAGTCCTCACGTTCAGCCGTCACAGTGTGTCATCTGCAGGAGGCAGGCTGTTGATGAGGCTTCTCAGTCCCGATGCCATGTTCTTCATAGAGTCCAGCTTCTTGAATTGCTCAGCACACAGATGGAACAGTGCTGGCTAGTTACAAGGAATTAGGACGTTAGGATGGCTTTTCCCACCTGTGCACCTTTGTTGTGTTTTTGTTTATACTACAAGATCTAAAAAGAGGTGCTCCTTTGACGAACATGGGTTGAATTTGTGGTTATTGAAATTATTTGGGAGAATAGAGAGCAGAGCTCCATGTACAGTGTTAAAAAAATGGAATCTTCAAATTTTTTGGAAATTAATCCCTAAGGAAAAAAATATAGAGGAAAAGATATTAAATCTTAATATTTCTTTTGAAATGAAATTTTATTAATGTGTATTTATAGAATGTTCAAATGTGACTTCAGGTGAGTAAAGCTAACTTGTCTTCCCATGGAACTCTGCAAATTATTTCCCTCTCTTCTCACCTGTATTAGCTCTTTTAGAATGTGAAGTGTTGGGTGGCCGCGTCGAGCTGGCCGCCATGGCATGGTTGCCACACGGTACTTGTGTGGCGCACAGCTCACTGGACTCGAGGTGAAGACGGGATCTACTCCAGGTCACAGAACAAGTTCAGTGCAGAGCCAGGCTTTGAACCAAGTGTTTCGGGTCTGTGTGCCTGGACATCCTCCCTCCACGGAGCCTCCTGTGGTTGTGTGAACTGAGTTAACAGCTAGACCTTAGGCTCACTTCTGTCAAACTTGAGTCGTTTGCCTGAGCCACACCTCCAGTCCCCAGGTGGTTAATGCATGTCCTCTCGCCGTGCAGTGAGCACTTACTGTGTGCCAGGTGTTCCAGGAGAGTGGGCGAGGCCAGGCTGTGCTTGAGGGCAGGGAAAAAAACAGAGAGGGAACAGGGGGTGGTGCAGTCGGCCGGCAGTGAAGGACCGAGGCCAGCAGAAGACCCACTGCAGTGCAGAGGGACGGTAGTATCAGTCGGCACAGAGGAGGATGGGGAGACTACTGACCAGTCAGCATGAGGGTGTTTTCTCTGAGGAGCTTCCTGTCTGAGGAGGGAGGTCTATATCACTGGTGCAGAGTAGAAGATGGTGAGTTTGAGGACTCCAGAGGTACACTATTGACAGTTTTAGGGACCCTCTGTGAAGAAACTTCATTCTTTCAGCCCATAGTTTTGAGAGTAAGATTTAGGCTCAGTGGAAGAAGAAACATAATGATCCAGTGTTCAAGAACACATTTCTAAAATACTAGCATAATGGTATTCAGTGCCTGTGAAGGCTACATTTAAGACTGGTCTACCAGAGGCCTCTCCCAGAGCATGGGAAGACACCAATTCCGGGCGTTCTCTTATTAAGTTCTGCACGTCCTTCTGCTGTCTTGGTATGTCATGTTTCCCAGTGTTGTGTTCTTTTGGTTTTACCGATGTGTCTACCTAGAATGTCTTTCTCTTGCAGTTACTAAGCTGTCCACTAGGTGATGCTGAAAGACTTGAACTCAATGCTATAATAGAGACTTGTGAAAGAGCAAATTGCATTTTCATCTCCCCTTCCTCAAACTGTGTATTACTTACTTTAGGCATGTTATCAGGAGGGGCCAGTTCTGGAAAAATGTGCCATGTTGGTAAATGTGTGGAGGGTCAGAGAAGGAGAGGACTCTTGACAAGACGGGCTGACCCAGTGACTGTAACAGTGGTCTGGAGTCTTCTCAGATGGACAGTGTGGTACAGGGTGAGGCAAGGCTGTGATCTACTTGATGGCATTTAACAACGACCTCCTCCTCAAACTTGCAAACCACGAGCAAGGCTGGAGTCGACACTGAGTTCAGGGAAAGATTAGTGTGGAGACCAGAGGTGCTAGGGCTCAGTGCTGTTCCCCATAACTGTTGGAGAGAAGTCCACTTGGAGTTGCCTTCCCTGATGATGGGGCTCGACTATTCCGGGACCTCGTTTCATGTTGAAGCATTTCTGGTGGTTAATTAGGGAGCATTGGTGGCATAGTGGCAAGAAGCTGCGCTGCAATCCTGGAGGCACGCCATTCAAATCCACCAGCTGGTTAATTGTGTTAACCAGGCGATTGATGGTATAAAGATGGCCTTCAGGGTGTCTTATAACTAGGCAGAAGCACCATGTCACAAGGTCAGTCTGAGGGTAAGAAGTCAGAATAAAGGAATCACAGTGAAGGAAACAGTCCCAAAGCAGGTGTCCATTGGAATAACACAGTTTGGTTGGTCAGGGACAGATGTCCAGACAGGCCTGTCTCTACTCACTGTCATCTCCGAGCACCCACTGTTGGCACGCTGAGCTGCCGGACTGGAGAGGGGACTTGGGAGCCTCAGGTTCTTGACTGCTGGGCCCTCGCAGCAGGCTTCCCTGGTTTTCAGCGGTCAAGCAGCAAGGCCTGTATCTTTGCAGGGGTTTTCAGCTCTCCCCAGAGTAGGTCAGCATTGACTCATGTTCACCAGATGTTATCAATCTCTTAAATATATCTTCTTCATTTTTCAGAGTTACTGGAGACTGTAACCCTGATCCATAAACCGGTGTCATTGCAACCCCGTGGGCTGATCAATAAAGGAAACTGGTGCTACATTAATGCTGTATCCTTCTCAGACGGTGTCCCCAAGCTATTCCAGCAGGCAGCCTTCTCTGCCCCAGGCGCTTGAGTCCATGGGGCATCTCACACAAATCCAGAATCCTAACACCTGGCTCATTAAATAAAAGAGCCAGGCAAGGTTTGTTCTCCTTAGAATGGCCCTGAATACTAGGATGGAGTGACTGCTTAAAACTGGAGATTGTTTTTATTTGATGATCTTGGCTGAATCAAGGCCTGGTATGTAAACTTGCAGCCCATTTGTGGACCTTGCCAGGCTGTTGCCCTCATGACTGTGTGGTTTACTCCACTCGTGTTTACATGTCTGAGTTTGCAGCGTCCTTGGTTTGATTTCGTTTTATAAGCTTGTATATTGAATGTGCCTGTAAGATGAATGGTGGGTTTCTTCTCCTTTACACTTCCTTACTGCCGACGTGTAGACCTTGCAGGCATTGGTTGCTTGCCCCCCGATGTATCACCTGATGAAGTTCATTCCTGTGTATTCCAAAGTGCAGCGGCCTTGTACGTCCACACCCATGATAGATAGCTTGTAAGTAAAGGGTGCGTTTACCCTCTGATGAGGAGAATTTAAACGTCCAGGATTCTTCATTGCTTGCTATGGGTCCCATTAGATTTTTGGTTTTTTAAATGAAATTGGAGCATTTTGTATGTCTGTGTTCTTTAGACCCAGAATACATTTCTATCTTTACCAGTGCATGTTAAGAACCCTGGGAGTGTAATACATTCTGTGCTAGACTGCTAACCTGAAAGGGTCAGTGGTTTGAATCTCCTAGCTGCTCCGGAGGAGAAAAGTGGCAGGGTTCCCATGAGTCAGAAGCAGTGCAACCACGGTGGGCCTGATTGGGGGTCCATCAGTTAAAGACACCAAAGAGACTTCTACAGAGAAGATGTAGGAACTCTGCCTATGAGACTGCTAGTTACTAAAGTCCACTCTGTTAGTATTAGTGACTACTCTCTATAGCCATCAAGGGCTTTAAGTAAAAGTATTTTGGTTTTTAAAAATGCTCTAGTGACTTCCTTGTCTTTTCCTTTCCACTTAGTGTTCGATTGATGAATGAGTTCACTAACATGCCAGTACCTCCAAAACCCAGACAAGGTGAGTGACACAGGGGCCTCCACGGACATGCCATCCTGGGGACTGTGGAGTCAGATGCTAGAAATAAGGTGCAGGTGCAGGTGCTTCTGTGCCCTTCACATCCTCCTGGGAGGGAGCGTGATCCCGCAGCTCCTAACTGGAGGACACTTGGTAATCCTCTACACCTGCATTGTTTCCATTACAGCTCTTGGGGATAAAATCGTGAGGGACATCCGTCCCGGCGCCGCCTTCGAGCCCACGTATATTTATAGACTCCTGACGGTCATCAAGTCCAGCTTGTCTGAAAAGGTGGGGACCTGCTGCTGTGGCCTGGTTTTGGTTAGTTGCGTAGTCTGGGCTTCCTCCTGAGCTGGTGCTGTGCCTGACCAGCACTCAGGACCAGGTGGAGAGTCTCGTGAGCCCCCGTGCTTAGTGGGTGGAAGGTGTGTGGTGTTGCTCACCGTCCTTGTGATCGGAATGAGCTCCTGGAGTTGGTGCCGGCCCTGTGGGGCCACCTCCCATATATTAGCTTGTTCAGCCTTAAGAGTATGTGTGGCTATAGCCCTGGCAGTGAGGGCTTGACTTGTCAAGCTGCTAACCGAAAGCTCTGCACTTAAATCAGCGAGCCTGTCCACTAGAGGAAGATGAGCAGTCCCTCGTAAAGACTTCCAGCCTCTGAAACTGGAGGACGGGCCCCATGAGTCAGAGCCGACTGCATGGCAGTGGTTGGTTTCATTTTGTTTTCATAGTTGAGAAAAGCACCCTGTCCAGGTCACATAAGAAATAGTGGAGTCTGGTTTAGAGTCTGTTTTCAGGCACTCCGCCTTGAGTGCCAACCAAAACCAACAAGGGGAAAAGCCATGTGGGCCAGGTCCCATGGGCACACTCCTTGTGGGACTGCCCAGGACACACTTTGTTCGTCCAGCGAGGAGTAGTGACAGCATGTGGGAGATGTGGGCCAGGGAAGCAGGTTGGAGATCGTAGAGTGAGTGTCGGCAGCCTGAGGACAGCCGCGTCCGACCTCCGATAACTCCATAAGGGGGTATTGTCCCCGTCGGTAACGTCCACAGTAACAAAGCTAACTGCTCTAGTTCAGGCGTGGTTTCCCACACTCCTGCACCTCTGCCACTAGTTCCACTACCAGGCTTACTGCTCTGCTGGGGTCAAACTGTTAGAGGGACCACACACACTTCACAGAAACATACAGTTATGGGGCTTATTAGGGAAGTTAAAAGGCTATATAATTCAGCAGCACACAGTTGCTCAGTCCAGACAGCTTCTCAAGGGTGGTTGCAGGCCCTTTGACCTTGAGCCTAACGACATCGCAAAGTTCCCTTCGCCCTGCCGGTCGGGGCGTCTTCCCTCGGGCCTCCAGCGAGTGTGGGTGAAAGGCTCTGGCTCTGTGTCAGCTGTTCCAGATCGGCTCTGCCTCAGGCTCGTTCTCTGCCGAGGCAGCTCTTGCTGCACTTGCGTGGATCCCTGTCTGGCTGCAGCAGGACTCTCTGGCCCTGGCCCTACTGTTTCTTCTTCCTCCTTGGTGTTGAAAGTTCAGATTTCTGCCACCGAATCTGCTCATTTTAATTGGACTAGCCAATCCCTTTGTGGACAGACTCATTCATCCTAATTGTATGATCCTGCCCATCCATGTGGCCACGTCTTCGACTAGTAATGCCATTTTGAACAATAAGCCCTTGACGGCACAGCCTCAGTGCTCAGGGCCTTCAGTGGGGGCCGGTCACAAATCCTCGCCAGCTGCACCTCCAGTCGGCGAGCTCACACAGCACTGCTATCCCTACTCAGGAAGGAAGCTCTGGGCTGCTTGACACAGTGACTCAGGCACCTGGCTCCGCCTCATCCCGGCTTTGAAGGAGGAAAAAGTCCCTTTAAAATAACATTTATTTTATATCTATGTATATATATCTGTACGTGTACACACATATTTGACATTATTTTTTCGTGAAAACGTCAAAGGAAACAAGTTGACCAATGTCCGTGAGCATCTCTTGTCATTCCCTTTGACCTTTCCAGGGCCGACAGGAAGATGCTGAGGAATACCTCGGCTTTATTCTCAACGGACTCCACGAGGAGATGCTGAATCTCAAGAAGCTTATCTCACCGAATACTGAAAGTACGTTATAATGTAATTATTTGCTATATAATTATATGTGGACATTTTCTCAGTTGTTTTTCAAATAACTCTCGCATGTTCATATGAGACATTGCGTCTCTGCACCCTGAGTCTGCACTTCCGGATTACGTATATACTCTTTAGGGATAACTATTTTTACAAAGACTGGTGGTGGTTCAGTGGTAGAGTTATTACTTTGTACCCAGGAGACCCCAAGTTTGAATCCCTGCCGGGGACCCTTGAGGGCAGCCATATTTCAGTGAGTACCTGCTGTCAGCATGGTATTGTTATCTGTGTATCTGCACATGAACGCACAGTTTATACCCACTTCTTCCTGAATGACTCAGAATTTACTTGCAGATAACAGTATCTCTCATCCCCAAGTGCTGAGGTATCTGTCTCCTAAGCAAAACCACAAGATCCTCATCAAGTTAAGAACACAAACAGTAACAGTTTTATAGGCTCCACTTCCCGGCCAGACTTCAGGGCTCTCTGGCCATCTGAAGTGGCCCCTGCATGCTAACAGGCACTTTGAAGATCAAGCTCAGATGCTGTAAAGCTGTGTTGTTTGCATTTGATTGCAGGGGTCTTCCAATCTGGAATATGCTCTCAGTTTCTTTTTAAAACTAAAAATTGACAAATCTACTGATGTGCTTCCCACTGATCTTTGTCTTCTTGGGACTGTGGGTGTGATCCCCTAAGCTGATTCTGCCTTTCAGAGCTCAGTGTCTCCAACGGGCCCCAGAGCCCCTTGGTGAACGACGAGGAGCAGGAAGAACCAGGCGAGGGCAGCGAGGACGAGTGGGAGCAGGTGGGCCCCAGGAACAAGACCTCGGTCACTCGGCAGGCGGACTTTGTCCAGACGCCCATCACTGGCATTTTTGGCGGGCATATCAGGTTGGTGCTGTCTGGGGACCCTTCAGTTGCCAGGTTGATAAGGAGGGCTGCGGAGTGACCTGTCCTAAGGAAGGCCGGAGTCCCTGCGTGCTCTGCCCTGCCCCTCCTCAGGCTTCTCTTGCCCTTCCCCCCACGCGCGGCCCAGGGCATCATCCCTGCAGAGGGCACTGTGCCCCGGCAAGTACCGCTCCGGGGAGTGCTGCCCTGGCCACAGCCATCTCCCCCACCCTGGCCCCCCACCCCCTCTGATCCCCTGTCCACCTGAGCTCAGAGGATAAAAGCAGGCTCACACAAGGGCACGTTTGTTAGGAGGAAACACTGATACCAGATGTGTAGGGTGGAAGGAACTTGAGATGCCATGATTGAGTGAAGCCAAACCAGAACGTGAACCCAGCCTGGAGAGAGATTTTAAAGGAAGCAGTGCTGTATAGGCTGGGATTCCTGCGGCATGAATCCAGGCTGCTTAAACTGGCTGCCTTGTGCTGACTCACAACCTCCTTCTAAAAATGTATTTCTTTATGTTCGAGCCGTCAATACCAAGATGTGGGACTCAGGAAAATGTGCCCTGTTTCCTAGGAGGTGTACTCCCTCCAGGTGCTAAGAGACCCCCATTCTAACATCAGTTCCTAACCTGCAAAATCAGGGACCCTGGTGGCACCGTGGTTAAAGAGCATGGCTCCTAACCAAGAGTTCCGAGGTTCTAACCCACCAGCCGCTCTGCGGAAGGGCACTGCCACGTCTTTCCCCTGCTCTGTACGTCTCTCCCCTGCTCTGTACGTCTCTCCCCTGCTCTGTACGTCTTTCCCCTGCTCTGTACATCTCTCTCCTGCTCTGTACGTCTTTCCCCTGCTCTGTACGTCTCTCCCCTGCTCTGTCTCTGGAAGGAAGCAGTCTCTTGCCCTCTGACATCACTTACTGAGCAACAGCGATAGGCTGATCAATGAGCCTGTTCAGAGCAGAGAGACACCAGCCACACCCTTGACTGAGTCACTTCCATGCTCTTGGCCATCAGCTGGACTCTGCAGGCCTCTGTCCTAGTCAAACATAGCGTGGTCTGGACAGTGCTGGGAGCCTGGCCACTGCGGCTTTGCCACAGTTGTAACTGGTTTCTGCTGAATTGGTGTGTTGGGAAGAAGCAGACTGGCATCCAGGTTGGGTGACAATAGTGAGAGATGCTGCTGTGTCCTTGATCCAGTGTCCTTGAAGCCAGCAGCCTAGAAGTTAGAGTTCTTAGGATACTCACCTAGATGGGAGAGGAGCCTAGGAAATAGCTCCAGTGTGTTAAATGGACCAGCATTTGGGGCATCACGTGGGGTATTGTGATTGTGAAGCCCCAGGCAGACAGTACTACCCAAATGCCGGGCTTGTCTGTGAGTGAGCGGAAGACTGAACGATTTTCCTTTAAAAGTGAGGCCTTCCTCAGAAGGGCCAGCACGCCCTCTGGCTCTTCCCTCCACTTGTGATAAACGCGGGCTGCGGCTGCTTGATTTCTCCACCTGTGTGCACGCCTGGTTTCCCACTGTTGCTCTTGGAGCCAAGGGGATGGTCATCACGCAGTCTTCACACCCTGGAGGACTGTGGAGAGACTGTGATGACTTGTGTTGAAGAAGCGACTTGACTGGAATTGTCAACTAGACATGGCATTGGGGCCTGTAACCCGCTCTTTGCAGCGTCCAACCATACACCTGCCCACACTCACTGGACGCTGTCCCTCAGCTGGGCCCCTTAGACTGCAGAAAGAGAGTCTCTTGTTGAACTTCTGGAGCGCTCCTTACTGAGGCTGAGTTAGAGACTTAGGGAGGGAAAAGTGAAATGAAAAACCAGCTAAGAAAACAAGGCGGAATTGGTGCTTTGCTTCTTGGAAGGGTAGGAGCCATTTTTCCTGGAATGTTAACTTGTTTTTTATAATACACACCCTCCTCCCACCTCTTCTTTTATACAAAGGGGAAATGCCATTAAAAATAAATGCACTCAGTTCGGGATCTCCCAGATCATAACATTAGAACATCCGTGATACTTTGAGCAAACAAAATGTGAGCACTTTGAGACTGACAGGAGGACTTCTTTTATGAACAGGAGCATGCAGTCCCAGTGTGGGGTGGAGGCGAAACTTTTGGAAGGGAAAATATGTTTTTTTCCAGAGCATTCAAGTTGGGAACATTTTATTCACTGGTAGATTTAGCTGTTAGAAACACTTAACTGGTGGTGTTTAAGGAAGCTTTTTCCAGTGATACTGGACACCCTTGTTTTGAATGTCTGGTCCCTTTCTCCCGTCGGTTAATCCTAGTGGAGTGAGGAGGCCCGGTTTCTCACATTGACCCTTTTGGTTCTGGTTCTCAGGTCTGTGGTTTACCAGCAGAGCTCAAAGGAGTCGGCCACGCTGCAGCCTTTCTTCACGCTGCAGCTGGACATCCAGTCTGACAAGATCCGCACTGTCCAGGACGCACTGGAGAGCTTGGTGGCCAGAGAGTCTGTACAGGGCTACACCACAAAAACCAAGCAGGAGGTATGGCCGCGAGGCGGGAGGAGCACAGCTACGAGTCTGCTAGTGGATTTGTGTCCTGCCACTGAAGTCGGTGGCCCACTTGCTGGACTAGAGGTTTCCACCTTAACCGAATGAAATGGTTGCAAGGAGATCCAAATCTCTTCTTGCTCTGAATTCATGAAAATGGTGTTTCCTTTTGTGTAGTGGATCCTTTGCTCCATATAATTTCTGGAAATGTATAGTTTATATGCCGTGACAAGCAGGAGAGCTTATTTGTATACACTGAGTCGTGGCACAGTCTTAGTCAAGTCGGGAAGCACAAGGCACCCTGTCCACCTACCTGCTGGACTGCATGCGAGGTTTAGCAGATCAGCAGGGACATGGAAGCCTATAAAGTACTGTGGTGTCTCCTGGATTTGATGTGGAGAGGATGAGGTCGTAATATTTCAGCCTGCACTGTTCAGAGACTAGGAGCCTCATGGAGAGGTGACAGTGAGCTGCGTTCCCGGTAGACCTGACGATGTTCTTTCACTCAAGTGGAGTGAACTCACACGTCATTGGCTGTCCGGGTGGGCTAGGTCGTGCCTGTTTTCTGCTTTATGGTAAGAGCTGCTATTACACGAGTGTGGGAGGTGGTGACAGAGAATTGGGAAAGATGAGCTGGGGAGAGGCGTGCAGGCTCCTGGCAGAATTTATTGGGCGGTTCATAGTGTTCCTCCCTCCCTGTGAAGGTTTATTTCAGTAGAAGGGCAGCGTGTGGCAGCTGTGAACCATTCTTTTCAAATGAAAGCAGACATCGCAGCGTAGATAACCTACCACCAACTTCACGGCTGAGGCTGGCTCTTGTCCTTCGGCTCCTTGTCTGAACACAGGAGCATGAAAGTAGGACACGGGGACCTCTGGTGCCACCAGACAGCTCCCTTTGGGGCTGATGCAATAGCCCCCCTTGGCGGGAGTACAAGCCAGGCCTCAGCTCCCACTGTTTCCAGACTGTCTCCTCACAGCAGTTTTATGTTTTTTAAAAAAGTGGTAAGAAGCAGAGACAGACACTTGGCTGAGGCCCCAAACGGATAGCTGAGCTGCGTCTGGCATTGGTTCTGGTGACAGAGAGAGTGCTGTGTGCTCTAGTGTGGTTAGGTGTGTGTTTTGGCTGGGGGTGACTCTGTGGCCCCTGAGTCTCTGAGAGGTGGCGTTCCTGCTCTGGCATCTGTGGCTACTGCTCCTGCTCCCCACTCCCTCCCCAGTCACCCCAGGACAGACCCTCTGACGATGTCTGCTTCTTTCTCCCTGCTGTGGTCACACTGTAACTGGGTCAGGAGGAGGTGAGTGGTGGGTGAGATGGAGACAGAGGAGGCTGATCCTTTCTACATTGAATTTGAATCCGTTTGAACTTGAAGCACTGTTTGAAGAAAGAAGTGGTGCTCGTGTGACCTTGCTGTAGGAGAGAACACTTGGCCCTGCTGTGGGCTGTGACTAGCAGTGTGAGTGGACGCCGTGGATTTATTGGCTGGAAGATGCTCGCCAGCTCACAGGACAACCTATGGAGCACACATCACATTTTCTTGGAGTGTGTGTTCTCAATTTGCTGTTTTTTTGTTTTTGTTTTTTTTTTTGCTTCAGTTCAATGAAAGAGACTTTATTGAGGGCCCAGGGTCATGGGGCTCAGAAGAAGGCCACCTGCAAGAGGCAAGGGAGGCAGTGAAGAGTGGGCTCTTATTTGACCTTCTTGGGGCGCAGGTTGTTGGTGTGCCCACACTTCTTCTTGCGACAGTTGACAGCACGGGGGCGCAGGCGAGCATAACACTTGCGGCAGATCATCTTGTCGCAGTTGTGTTTCTGGGCGAGCTGGCGCAAGGAAGGCTCAGTAATGCCACCACGGAGACGCAGCACCAGATGCAGGGTGGACTCTTTCTGGATGTTGTAGTCTGAGAGCGTACGGCCATCCTCTAGGTGTTTGTCCACAAATATCAGACGCTGCTGGTCAGGAGGGATGCCCTCCTTGTCTTGGATTTTGGTTTTGACATTCTTGATGGTGTCACTTGGCTCGACCTCAAGAGTGATGGTCTTGCCAGTCAGGGTTTTCACAAAGATCTGCATCTTTGCATCTGCCGCCCGGCCACCTTGCTGAAGAGAAAGAAGGCGACTCAATTTGCTTTTTAAATTACAAAGTTTGATTTTCCTTTTCAGGTCAAGACATGAAGTTTCTTGGGGATATGTGGTTATGCAAATAAATGCAGGAAAATTCTGGTTTTATTCGACAATTAGAAAATATGCCCCAAAGCCCGAAATAGAGCAGGTGTGATATCCAAGCCCCGTGATGAACTGACTGACAGCATTAAGTTAAAGTCAGAGATCATTAGCAGGAGAAGGCAGCCCAGCACAGTCCCACATCCAGCCTCCTGACAGGCCGGGCCACTGGCTGGTGGGAGCCTCATCTCTGATCCCCTGAGCTGGGCTCGGACTCTTCATTCATCAACAAGGCCTTCTGGAGCACACTACGACGTAACTGTGATGGGACTGTGCGGACGCACAAGATCTGGTGGCCACTCCAGGGCCTCTTCATCCAGTGGGGAAGGCAGACGTGGGTGTGTGACATTAATATGTCCAGCAGTGTGCCTGGCTGAATGTGCTTATCCTTGAAGTGCCTTCAACCAGAGAAGAAATGGGCCTCTGACACATGATCATTTTATATACGCTGCTTACATAGAAAGAGGCCTCACATGCATCCTAGGTACAGATAATTAGAATGGAAGGAACTTATTATTTGTGAAGATGCATTTTAATAAGCAAATAAAATGGATCTATCTTTAAAAGCATAACTTATTCTACAGCAGCATATGGAATTGATAGAATTAGTTTAAAAACAAATTTGGCTTTGATGTAGTAGGTACTGTGTGTTAAGGGGCACTGGTGGTCTGTGTGGGTTGGCTGCTGACCGAAAGGCTGCCCATCCAGGGGCCGGATCTACCAGAAGCTCCTCTGCAGAGATGGGCAATCTCCTCTCGTTGAGACTGACAGCCTGGGAAGCTGGAGCGAGGGCCACCAGGAGCCAGAACTGACGCACACGGGGAGCTGAGCCAGAGCTTTCTCATTGGTTCGCCTTTAAATGATTTCTTATGTTGTTCTGGTGACCGTGTATAGCAGAACCTGCCAGCAGTTTCTGTGCTACAATCTAGAGAGAATGGATCTCACCTTTAAGTTGGGCAGCCATCCTCAGCCCTTCTTTTCCGGAGTTGCTCCTTTTGCTTAACATAAACTCAGCTGCCCGTGCTATCCCTGCGGATCCTTCCAGCTGCATTCAGACGCTTGAAATACAGTTCTTGAAAAGAGCAAAATGTTCGAGGAAAGCATTTTTGGTGGTGGTTAAGCTAAAGAGCTTTAAGACGATATTTTTCAATTTAATGTTTAAAGCGTGTTGGAGACAAAGGGATTGGCAAGGGACAGAGAAGGGTTTAGGGCTATTGTACTATTGTACATAGGCTCACTATGAGTTGCAAGCTACTCGACGGCACATAACAACGTTTAAAGATTATTTCAGCAGTTTTTCCTGGGGGTTGACTAACCTTCCGTGGCTCCAAATCAGAGCCCAGGTTTTGACCTTTTGTTCTGCATTCCCACTTCTTGACCAGGATTCTGCTCTGGAGTCATTGACTTAAATGCTCGGTAACAGTAGCCGGCCGCAGACCACAGCCTCCACACCTTAGCTGCCTCCTGTTCCTGACTGTCCCTCCTCTGCGGCCCCAGGTTGTGTCTTGAATGGACACTTGTGAGATTTTAAGGCCCTGGGCTCTACTGAGTAACGTGGGAGGTGGAACAGAGAAGCACAGGCAGGTTACTGATGGGCATGTCCCCCGGACCCATGGGCCCAGGCCCTTGGGGCTGCACGGCCTCAGCAGCCGCTCTTTTGTTGCTGTTACCATCATATCTATCGGGGAGCTTTTGCCATCCATGTTATTACAGGTCCACAACTTAGGGCTCCAGGTGCAGCAGTCATTTGCACAATTGATACTACTGTGTCATAGGCATCACCAGGACAGGCCTCTCCCCTCCCGCTTGTCCTTATAACCTCTCATAAGCTGTACTCTGTGTTTGCCTTCTGTTCTCATCCTGTGTGCATGGGCTGTGCAGCTCTCCTTGGTCATGGTAATGCACAGAGCAGAGATTCGTGTGTGAGTTAACCTCCTGGTGGCAGCGTGGAGGACCTGTGCTCTCCTGACGGGAGTGTCTGAGCTGTGCTAGATCAGAAGGTTCTGTGACACAGCAACGACAGGGCTGCTTGGTGACCTGAGAGGAGTGGGCACGTGCATATGCCACACCTGCTGCCCGAGTGAGCCAGGGCTGTGTCCTTGTGTTGTGTCTTAGGTGGAGATAAGTCGTAGAGTGACTCTGGAGAAGCTCCCTCCTGTCCTCGTGTTACATCTGAAACGATTTGTTTATGAGAAGACTGGCGGCTGTCAGAAACTGATTAAAAACATCGAATATCCTGTGGACCTAGAAATCAGCAAAGGTAATGAGTGAGGTGGGCCGTGGGTGCAGGCATTTCTGGAAACCTGCTTGCTTAGTCTGCTAGCATTTGCTGCATGGTCTCTTGGTCATAAATCTTTGTACTAAAACTAAGAAACCATATAACCTGACTAGATTGGAAAAAACAGGCATTTTTTTTATTATCAAAAAGAGCGTGGTTTTTCTGGTTAGATGGCATTTTTACTCATTTGGTAATTGAAAGCTTACAATATGAATATGGTTAGTGCTTTTTTTGTAACTAATTTTTATTTTCACAACAAAATACCCATTTATCAATGCTTGATTGGGAAGGAAACAGCCAGAGACTAGTCTGAAAATACCAGGCAAGCTGCCGGGGTCACGGGAGAGACTCCATGTCTCGTAGAGGAGCTGCTTCCTCTGCCCATACTCTATGGCACGGAATGGCCGCACTCAGACACCTGCCCATCACAGTCACTGGGACGTGGCCGGCTTATGCTCCCTTCCCTGCTGGCCGCTCTGCCACCTGATGGGCTTATGTGGAGGTCCCGTGTCTGCTTCACTTGCCGTCCATCTTCCAGCTCTGCCGTCACTCACAGGCACGTGCCTGATGTGATGGAGAAGAGCCGGGAGCCCAGCCCCGGATGCCCAGGCTAACCCTCCTGTCAGTCTCTCACTTTCCTGCACTGGGTCTGTGGGTCTTTTCCTGCTTGTTGTGCTTTGAGGCTTCTGTTTCCGATGCTTACCTGCAGCACCCTCTTATGGACTAGAGCTGTTGATGTTTTGTTTTTCAGAACTGCTTTCTCCAGGGGTCAAAAATAAGAACTTCAAATGCCACAGGACCTATAGGCTATTTGCAGGTAAGCCCACATGTGCATACCAGTCCTGTTAGAGCAGGGAAGTACCTTGCCCACTGCCACTCCACTGACAGCCCGTGCTGTCCCTGTGCGCTCTGCTGAACTGGCCGACGTAGGGGAGGCTGCGAGGCTGTGTCCCGTGAGGTTTGTTGCTTGCAGTCTGATCGCATCCTGGTTCCATACTGGCCTAGTTCACAAGGGCTGTTTCTGTCCTGGAGTCCTGTCGAGGGCGAGGCTTGTGCTACTGGACTAGCATGTGAGAATGTGGAATTCCCATCATGGTGGTCACATGTTGGGGTACCATGTCATCTACTTCCCCACTAGATTCAGGGACGCCTCTGGAACGTGTCCCCCATCCCTCTTCTACACGGTGCTCTTGGGTGTACATGAGAAGGTGGGGTGAGCTCCCAGGCCCCTCTGCTACCACATTCTTCATTGGTCATGTGCTCTGGCGGGCAGCCCTTCAGCAGAGACCAGAAGGGTCCAGCAGCTCCTGGGACCTTCACACCCTGCTGGGCCCTCCGGGTCCTGGCTCAAGGAGCCAACAGGGGCAGCTTCATTCCTGCTCCTTGCTGCTTCCTACCTGGCCCATTTCTCCACCGTAGCTGTCCTCTCCCAGACCACAGAGTGCAGGCAGCCTTGCTGTACCATGCTGGGCTTTTACAAAGGGAGAGACATTCTTCACACAGTGAAGGCCTCGTGTTGAGCAAGTGTGTCCTTGCCTCTTTTCCAAAAGCAGGTGCCTGCACTGAGTCTCTGGGTCTCATCTCGTTCACTTTTTTATTTTCAGCAGAGTCTCACAGCAAATGCAATGCAGAAAAGCTATTTTTAACAAATAGTGTGGGAACAATGACTTCTTCCTTCAGTACTATTGGTTCACGATACTAATTTATAAAAGCAGGAGTTCTGTGAAGCTGTCAGAGTCATAGCCTTCACACATAGATGCCAACTCAGAGCAGCAGGAAGGGACCCCAACAGCTGCTGGAGAGTGAGGCCGCTGGGGAAATGAGTGTTCTTTATAGATGCCCGTGTATAGCTGGTAGAGGTGAGCTCGTAAATGAAGGACCAGGTGGTGACGAGCATGTGGTGGCCAGCGGCGCCATGTTCACCAGTCTGGTGAGGCTGCTCCCAGCCTCGAGCAAGCCGCTGCTCTGCCCAGGGTCTTATCAGGTACAACTCCTGAAGTGGTTCAGTGTTGACTCATTCTTTTTGAAATAGTTTTTCTGTGTATTCCTTACATCTTCTGTATTTGTTACATCTTGAGTCAGTCAATATTTGTGCATAAAATCCTTCAGTATTGCAACTCGGGACTTCAGTCTTTTTCTTCCATTCTTTCATCTTTAGAAATGCCAAATTTGTTCTTCCTCTTTGCTTTTCCACTCTTTCACATTCTGTCATAACACTTTGTTATTATTATATAGTGTATCCTCCCACACTTTTCCTTCACTGACATTAAGCTTCATACAGTCATTCCCATACATTGTGTTTTGTAAAATTTGTCATCGTTTGACTGGGCCCATCATTACCCTGTCCTTTGAGATCCCTGCTGGATCTTTCCCATTCCCTCCACTCACCAAATTGTGCAACCCTATGATTTCGCCCCTACCCATCCTCTCCCTTCTGCTTCTACTCCTTTGCCCTTTGGATCCACATACATGTTTTACTAGTTATCCTTCTGTTTCTACAGTAATGGTCTTATGCAGTATTTCTCCTTATGGGACTGAGTTAGTTCACTCAGCACCTTGTTCTCTCTTAAAAGTATTTTAGCCTTTCCACTATGTTGCACACTTAATGGACTTCCAAAGCCAAAGCCATTGCCATTGTGTTGACCCACTTCATAGCAGCCCTCCCTCGACTTTCTAAGGCTGTAAATCTTTACAGCGTGAGATCCCTCCACCCATTCCTGAGGGGCACCTGATGGATTTGAACCTGACCTTTCGCTTTGTACCCCAGCACTGAAAAGCACTATGCCCAGGGCTCTTAACTGAAAGTTGTTTACATTGTGCTGTATCCTGTCACTGATTACAAGAGAATGTGAGCAGCTTCATGTGCACTTAGAGACCACAGCATGTATCAGTTTGCTCTGTTGGCAGTATTTGCTTCATCACTGTGGTATGGAACCTGACTTTCCATATCTCAAGATGGGCCTGTGTCTCTTAACTGCTTTTCTGAGCTAGTGGAGGCGTCTCCCTTTAGAAACAGAAGTCAGTTCAATTCCTGGGTCCTTCATGGTCTTCTGAGCTGCTAACCTGAATCAGCTAGAGTGTTCCAGATGAATGTCTAAGACAAACAGCTGGGTAACGGGACAGGAGCCCTCCTTGTGCACCTGCGCCCTGTGACTGACTAGGCTGCGGCAGCACACAGCGAGCACTGCTCAGGGCCTGGTTTTCACCACGTCTTCATGTCTCGCTCTCTCCTTGCTGGCCAGTCTTCCGGCCATGTGGCCAGCTCACTCCTTTCCAAGGTCCAAGCACCTGGACCTCTGCAGAGCTGGAGTTTGCCACGCCCATGGCCTGCTTGGCACCAGCCTCTAATGCAGAGCCCAGCCTGGAGTGGATGCCGACCCTTGTTTGAGGGACACTCCAGAAGATGACTGTTGCTGGTGCTCATAACATTTGGGCCTTTCATACTGCAGGTCCCCTCCTGTCTCACCTAGTGGCTGTCCTTCATGTCCTTGTCCAGCTCAGCTCGCTGACCCTGCTGCCCTCAATCCCTACCCTGCCCTCTCTGAGAAGTCCTGCTACCTATGTCGTGGGCTGTCGTCTACATCTTCCCACAGATTCACGTGTTTTAGATGTTTGTGAAAGACTGCAATTTAATTACCTGATTTAAAGAAAAGACTGTGTGTCCCTTTTTCCTGTTAAAACACTACAGTCAAAGCACTCATTAGTAACCCCGCAGCAGGCCTTGACGTCTGCACACCCAGGTGCCCAGGTTCTCTGCGCTCTGCCCAAGACCCAGACCTGCCCACAAAGACCTGCATCTTTGCTTCCTTCGGGAACACGTGGTGGCACCTGTGATGACGTTGGTGCCTTGCTGCCGCCATCCCCCCCCATCGACTCTTGCTGTGTGTGTGTGCGACATCTGTCTCCTTGGGACTGAGGTGACCTACTTTTTTGTGAATTGGTAAAGCTCAGATTGTTTTCACGTCGACAGCATGGCCCTGTATAGCTGCATCTGTCTTGTGCCTCTGGTCCTGGAAGGTGCCTGCAGGGGTCAGGGAGGCGCCACATGTCCTGTCACTGCTGACCAGTCACGCCCTGCCCTCCTCTCTTGCAGTGGTCTACCACCATGGGAACAGCGCCACTGGTGGCCACTACACCACAGACGTCTTCCAGATCGGCCTGAATGGCTGGCTCCGCATCGATGACCAGACAGTCAAAGTGATCACCCAGTACCAGGTGGTGAAGCCCACGGCCGAGCGCACAGCCTACCTCCTCTACTACCGCCGCGTGGACCTGCTGTAGCCCATGACGTCTCCTGTGCCCACGCAGGTGCCCCTCCTCCCCTCACGTCATGCCACACCACGTCGACTCTGCCCCACGCCCACACTGACTGCCCCATGCTGACTCCACACAGATGCCGACTCTGCCCCTGCCCTGTGCTTAAGCAGGTGTCCCTGATGCTGACTCCACCCCTCTACGCCGCAGGCCCTGCCCCAAGGCCACTGTGGTGGCCATGACATCTACCCTCCCTCTCTTCTGTCCCTTCTGCAGAAATGGGCTCGAAATAAAGGAGACGCTGGACTTCATGCACAACATGGTGCATGCTGACTTTTAACTTCCAGATCTAGATCATTTGGTTGAAAAGAGACTCACTTGATTTGGGGGGGGAACCAATTCACAAACCCCATGTTTGTGAAATAATGCTGATTCCTGAGATGGGGAAAGGATTTCCGTTTGATTTCCAGTCTGATTGCTTAGTATGATAAGTCCTGCACCAGCAACGACACTTGTAAATTTGTGCAAAAGAATTTTATCTTTCCCGGAAAAAGAATTTTTAAATTCATCACACTTTTCTCCCTCACCTTTAGTTTTTGATAAATGATTTAAAAAAATAGAAGCCAGTTATCAGAGGAGAAGGAAATAACTCTTTCCTCAGAACAGAAACGTAGTAAGTTGCTGGTTCCTAGCGGGGGAAAGCATTTTAGTAATTGTGCAATGAGAAACTGCTTCCATACACAATGCCGAGAAAATCCTTGGAGTTAAGATGTTAGGATACGTAGATGGGTGATTGTAACTATTGCCATTAAAAGATTTCAAGTTGCATTCACGCTTCTGTGTACATGTCACAAAACATGGGCAGAATACTGAGTGTTAGTTCCTCAATCTGCTCTGTGTAATTCTGCTGTCTGCTTCCTATAATGCCGCCTCTCTAATTGTACACAGTATAGTGATGCCTAGGGGTATAACGTGGTCGCCCATCAATAAAAATCACAAAGTTGATGTAGAGCGTTCATGTTTCTTGGTGTTCGTTGGGCACAGCCCTGAGTGAGCGCGCAGTCTGGGGAGCAGCTGCACCCAGAGGCTACTGCGTGGTGCTTTCTAACCACAAGTCTCGAGCAAGCCAAAGAAGGAAACCTCCCCACTGTTGTGCCTGTCGGCTCCCCTGCATTTCCTGGTGTCCCATATATTGGCTTAGCTCTGCGGCAGCCTCCGGATGCCTATTCAGGTGGTCGGGCTGCCTTTGGTAGACCAAAGGCATGGAGAGAAGCTTGCAGAGGACTGCTCACTAGAACCGGGGTCTTGCGGGGATGGTGGTAGCTTTACCCTAGTATTCATGAAAAGGCCGTCCATATATCACACATCTGTCATCTTTCTCTGTGTCTTCCTTCTGCCACCTCATGTGATGATTACTGTCTAGCAAAGCATACAGTTCCTGCCCGTGTAGACAACTCAGTCACTGCACCTTTCTTCATGTTTGCAACTGTAGAAAAACTAAAGAGTTCTCAGGCTTAAAAGAATAAGGAAAGTACCACACAGTCTTTTTGTTCTGTTTCCTAAATTTTGGCATTACATTTCATTGTCACAAATAAGTTCATTGAATCTACAATCAACAGCCTTGCTAGTCAAGAAATCAAGATGTGTTGCATTGAAGAAATCTGCTGTCAAGTATTTACCCAAAGTTCTTAGCTGCTCCCTATGCATCTGAAAGTTGACAAAGAATAAGGAAGACCAAAGAATTACTGATGGCTTTGAATTGTGTTGGTGAGGAGTATTGAATACCATGGGTTGCAAAGAGCAAACAGATCTGTCTTGAATAAAGTGCTCCTTAGAGACAAGGATAATGTAAGTTCATCTCACTCACCTTGGGATTTCTTCAGGGGGAACCAGGCCTTAGAGACGGCCAGCTAGGAAAAGCAAGGGGTCAAGAGGAAACCCTCAGTGAGATGGACTGCTGCAGGACTGCCACGGTGGGCTTGAGCAGGACAGATCGTGAGGATGGTGCGAGATGGGGACAATTTTGATCTTTTCGTCGGGTCACGATGACTTGGTGGCATCTGACAACAACAGCTTTAACTTAAATCGGCGTGGTGCTTATGTACATACAGCCAACTCATGGGAGAAAAGCGGAAAACAATTTCATAATTTTAACATAAACTTTGTTACATGTGGATGAGTGTTTTGTGCTGAAAATCACTGAATTTAAACAGTGTCCTGAATTCCACTTAGTTTTTAGATGCCATTGAGCCCAATCAGATTCAGAGAAGAGGTGGAAACCTGTACAATTCTGTACCACCCACACCACCTTTGCTGTGAATTTCACTTCCTTTACTCTCCACGTTTCCGAGCATACTGTCCCCCTGGGGCACTGGCCTGCCTCCTCTCTGAGCCCTGGCCTCCTCTCCGAGCACTGGCCTGTTCTGACAGTGGGCTCCAGGTGTGAGACCAGGTCTCAGCAGCCTCCCCCGGAAGGCCCACCTTACCTGCACTTCTGCCAAGACAGGTTTACTTGTTCTTTGATAAGTCCATTCACTACTCTTCCTCACACCGCAATACAAAGGCATCTGTTCTCAGTTTTACTTATTCATCCTCCATCTTTCAAATGCTTATGAAGCAATTGGATGGTAACATTGTTAAATGTTTGGTTTTCCTCTTTCTGTGGTGGGGGGAATGTTGCCCAACAGTCTGTGATGAGAATTGTATTTCCTACCTTGAGGGACAGGATGGCCCCTTTACAGTGCCTATGTTGTGTGCCCTCAAGTTGGAACACTCATAGCTGACCCTCCAGGACGTTTTCAGAGGCGTTAATCACAGGAGGAGCGGGCCCATCCTACGAAGCAGCTGGTGGATTTGAACCACAAGGCTTTAGGACTGCAGCGCGGCTTCTTACGCTAGGCCACCAGAGTTCCCTTACAGAGCCGTAGTTGTGTATCATTGAGTGTGAACCGACCAAGAGCTGACCTGTAAATCACACAGAAGGGAGTGTCCCATCTTTCGCCCATGCAGAAGGGGGTGGTGGATTGGAACTCCAGGTCTTTGGGTTGGTAGCACAGCTCGTTCCCTCCAGAGCTCCCACCCCGTGCAGGGCGCATGCGCACCACTCCTGGTGCGTGCGCATCCCAGAGTCCTCCGCGCGTGCTCGGGCCTAGCCGCCTGCTTGAATTCCCGCCTGCCTGCGGGGTTACTCAAGGTCAAGGTCGCAGAAGAGCCCTGACCCGCCGCGCCCTGTGGGGCCTGCGTGCTGGAGGACTTGAGTGGCCGCCGGCCCGGCGAGGTCCTCGCCCCGAGCGGCCGGGTCCCTTTGTTGCTTCGGTTGAGAAGCACCTTAGACGGGGCGGAGTCCAGGCCCTGGGCCGGCGGTGGACGCAGCCTCGGCCACCTGCCCTCGCACCCCACAATGCAGCTCAGCTTCACCCCGCGATTTACGGAAGAAGACGGCCTGGTGGAACCCGCTGCCTTCGGGGCTGTTGGCCCGGCCTCCAAGCCTCGCGACTCCTCCAGGAGCAGCTGGCCAGCCAGGGCCCTTCTGTCCACTTCAGGTCGCACCGTCTCAGGTAAGGCACAGATGTCACGCCCGTGGCCTCGTCCGCTCCGGTCCCCTCGGTCGGCTTTGCGTCGCAGGCCTGCACAGCCCTCTCCCGCCGCCGCGGCCAGCTCCCGACTGACCCGTGGGCAGTGCGAGGCCGAAGTCACGCGGGGGACACTGCCTCGCGTTGTCCGGAGCAGCTGCTGGCCACTCCAGCCTCTAGTGGGGCGCACCCCTCTCGTTAACCCAGAGGCCAGTGTCCAGCACACCAGCTGCTCCTGGGAGGACAAAAGGCCTCCAGCCAGATGGGGAGCACCCGGGCCCATGTCCTGTGGGGCTGGCTTTGACTTTTGCCCGCTGGCCTCTCCTGGCCTCTCCCTGGCTGCTTCTGTCCATCTCCGGCCTTGCCTGCGCTCAGCTTCCCTGTGGACTCCCTTCCCTCTGCAGCACCTGGGGCGAGTGAGCGGTAAGACAGAGACTAGAGAGGGTCACTTCCTAGGGCGATTCATCCCCCCCCCCCAAGTTCCCAGTGTCTGAAGGCCATCCGGGGAGCCCCAACTTAAGACACGGTTCCCTTCCAAAAACCATTATTAAATTTCATCGGGGAAAGGGAGCCCCAACTTAAGACAGTTCCCTTCCAACAGCCATTGTTACATTTCTTCTGGGGAAACTGTACTGTCAGAGACCTCTTTAAAGAGTGACCAGCAGGGATGTCACTTTAAAGACGGCATTGTGCCATGGTATTTTCTTTTTTATAATTTCTGTTTTATATTGTTTTGCTTACACAATTTGTATAGTGTGGCATACAATCGTCCCCATTCATTATGCTTTATAAAATGAATCACCATTGAACTGTACCCACCGCCATGGTATTTTCAGTTGCTTCTCTTGCTTCTGAAAGTTGGACAGTGAACAAGGCTGACAGAAGAAGAATCAAGGCCTTTGAGCTGTTGGTGAAGAGGGTGGCACACCCATGGACTGCTAGAAGAACAAACCTTCTGTCTTAGAGGAAGTGTAACCAGGGAACTCCTTGGAGACAAGGACCACGAAACGCCCTTCCATGTACCTTGGGCATGTGGTCAGGAGGGACCAGTCCTTGAAAAAGAATGTGGTGCTGGGGAAGATGGTGTGTCAGAGAAGAGAGGACCCGACCCCCCCCCCCCCTGAGATGGAGGGCGTGGTGACCATAGCAATGGGCTCATGCAATCAGAGATGGCCAGTGCAGGCGAGGGCAGGGTTCATATCTGTCCCTGGGGGTGCTGTGAATCGTGGTCAACTTGACAGCATGGGGTCTTTGTGAATCTAATCTTTCGAACATCTTGGAATGAATATCAGAGATTTAGAACATCAGCAATTTTTTCACAACGCCCTATAGTACACACTGCTGACTTAACAACAGGGTGTCCCCTAAACGAAAACAAAACAGATGGTCACAAGTTCAGCTCCTTGTAACTCAGATGTATCTTTAAGTCATAAATGACCTGTCCTTGTGAGCCCC